AAAAGTCGGACGACATAAAATTTAGATTTTTTTTCACTTCGAAATTTTATCTTATATGATTATTGTCAACCCTTTTAGAGCATCGTCAAATAGAGAATAGAGCATAAAGAATTGCCAAAAATAATTCTTTTTTCGATACATCCAAGCTTTCGGCTCGAAAAATAATTTCCCACTTGTCACCAGATGAAATCTTGAGACGTTGGTCTCAGACTGATGTCAAATATTTTCAAGTTCTTTCAGTATAGATAATATTTATTGGCGATGTACGTGGCCGCAAATATCTAGTGCCTCTCCGTCGCAAAATTTTATTTAGACAGAGGTTTCATATATACAGCTATATACTATAGGCATATTTTAATATTAGACATAATAAAGTCCAAATTTTGAAGCGATCATGTCAATTTTGCCCTATAATTTTACTTCATTGTTGGTGCAGTCTTCTCAAATTCATATTGGACGACTGAATTCACCAACAAATTTAAAATAAAATTAGAATAATGAGAGAATTAATGTCATTTACGCGAAGTAATCAGCCGTATAATGGGAACAGATGCTTGGATTATGACAATATATTTCCGGGGTGAGATTAGGGAATCATTTATCGAGTTAACCAAAATTTCTTTTGATCTTATTTGGTTAGGAAACTTATGTGGGGCCGAGCATTGGAGAAGAGATAAATCTCTTTTTTACACTGTTGGCATATGTTTTATATCTGGATTTTTAGAAGTGCATGAAGCCGCTTAAATTTTAATTCTGCATATATAAATAACTGAATTACGTATGGAATTTTTCATTAGATCCCGAGGTCGTTGAAAGAAGCACAGTTTTGAGTTATAGTGATTCAGGGCAAAACTCATTCAGGAAGTTGTAATTAATGGGTTTGGTATAAAAATTGCAAAATTGTGCTTTAACTAGAACTATTTACTGAAAAAGTCAGCCCATTATAACAGCATAATCTTGAGTGGTTTAGAGTGTGCAATTAGTCTGCTAAGGAAAGGTAATCTGTGTGAAAAAAGATATTTATCTTGTTGGTACATTGTGGTACATCAACTAATGTAATTAACAATACTTTGTACGAAACTTTTATAGCAATATAGCACATACTAAAAACAGTTCATGAGCGGTATATTAAAGCTAGCTGCACAACGGGAGAACTATAATAATGTTAATCACATATTTTAAAATCATTGAATTGGCGTCCTTTTTATCCTTACGAAAAATTTGAATAAAAACTGGGTTAATTTTGTTTGTTTATATGTTTGTACATTATTTGTCTTCTATCGAATGCAAACATTAAAATTATAATAGAGAAATTGGAAAATGCGTTCAAACAATTCCTTCCTAATTTACATAACGTCGCGTTCTTGTATCTCGATTTTTCTCTCTTGTTGAACATAACCCGTGATGTTCACATTTTTTAAAGGATTGCATAGATATTCTTATTTCGATGCCACCAATCGAATAGTGCCATAGATTAGGCAGTCAGATATAGAGGACAATCCCGAAGTACCGTAAACAGGAAGATTCGTATGCATCGAAAGTGCGGAGTCGTATGCCGCCTATATACTTAGGTAACTGACTGCTTTAGCTATCAACTAGGTTTTGGTATGCACTTCAAATTTGAGCAGATTCAAGTAAGATCTATACATAACTTGTACATGCGACCCGGAGTGGTAATGTTTATACAATCTACAAGTATGGTTGAGCAATGAAATAACGGGCCAACCAAACCAGGAATGAACCGCCGTCATGTCCGCTATCAATAAACTTCTTCAGAAAGTGGACTCTATAAACAGTCACAGTTAGAGTTTTACGGATACAATTTTGTCAGATATTAATGTTTATGTTTATATGGATAGTAAGAGATAGAACTGTTAGTAAATTATAAATTTTACAAAAATTTTCCTAGATCTAAGCGGCTAAAATAAATTCTTCTTGACAGACTCTGGAAATCGCGCTCAAATAAAATCTTTGTGGGAGCGGATTTCATAACACTCGTTGTTTATCATAAGATTTAATTAAATAACTAAACCATTTAGTAATCAATATAGCAAAAAACACACTTAATATTTGGTTCCCGAGTACACTCTATGAATGGTCCTTGTTTGAGAAGGTATAAATTACTTGAGTGGAACACTCAAGTCGGCGTCTCCTACTCCACGACGCTGTTGAGAATAATTCGTTACCCGACAAAACAAATAGTATTATATAGCCAAGATATCCGCGGATCATACAAAAATACATGGTTAAATTTCGTTTCATCCCTCTAAATTGAACTGAAGCCAAACTTGATATGAAACATTTAAATCAAAGGGTAAACCTTTGTTACCCAAGTTATCATAAAAATAGCTGCTTCGAACCATAGCAATATTACGTGTGGTGCAATGATAATATCGAAATTTATCATTCAACCCATACTTAGTCACGCGATATCTAGATGTCTTAACCAAAATATATAGTTTGATTTTATTGATATCGTTTAGCATCAATTTGTTCTGACTTCTAGATCATTATACTAATGGCTCGAAAAACTGTTTTTTTTCAAATTTTCCCCGTCAATTTTTTTTTCTTCTTTAGGAAGCATCAATTATTTTACTGAATTGGATTGAATCTTTTATTCATAATATATGTACAGCTGACAGATTTATTTTAGTTTTCAAGAAATAGGTTGGGTTTTGAGTGAAATTCATATTTATTTGTTGCACTGAATGTAATTTTAAAAGCTTCAGTAATTTGTTATTTTTTAGATGCTGTTCGTCAAACTGACAGAAAAGAAAGATAAGATTCTAAAAATATTATAGATATCGTTGTTTAGGCATAAAATTTTGACGCCGAAATATTAGTCTTATAGCGTCTTGCCTGTTTCCCGCAAAATTATAAATAAGCAGTGATACAAATGAATCACCTAAATCACATTGGAGGTTAAAATTAAATATAGTAAAAGGTAGATTTTATATTTTTTCGATAAGCATATGACAAAAATCTGCCGTCACACCTTTTATTTAGGTGACCGTATATTGGCGAGGTGTACAGAATTCTATTTTCGCTAGTTGTAAATATATTTTCCTTCAAAATCCTATTTGAGAATATTTACTCGAAGTCATGTCAAAGAGTTAGTTGAAATCAATTGTAAGTCAGCTGTTGTGTTCGTTCTCAGAATGAACCCTTTCAGTTCCAAATAACTTTCTTTTGTGAATTTAGCCAAGTGTTTAACACCGAGGATCGGTGGATCGGTCGGCGGTGAGATTGTATGAAATAAAAATAATAAATAAAACCCTGTTCTCCAGTGATTCAAAATTGTCAACATGAAATCAGCGGTTACCAAATATATCGATTGCAAAGTGCTCTAAATCGACCTCAGCCTGTATCACAGAATATGAGTAGAATATCAACAGCATCATACACACAAGTCGCTTCATTATACAACATAAATAATATATGAACTTAAATGTTTATTGGTTTCCGATGCTGAACAAAATCGTTCATTACTTAACCATTAAGTCGTGGTTTTGAATAACTTGTTTATGACCAATATGCATACATGAGCATGCATTAAAGAAAACAGTAAAGTGGTTTTCCGAATCTTTCTCCTCTCTTACCTTACATAACTCAGGTTTTTGCTATTGTCTGGATCATAGGTCATGTACTCTTATTAAGCCCTGGCTATGGTGCAGATCAGGTGTTGACAATACATACAGACAAGACATGGTCGAGTTTTAGAAATCGTTCTCCCCCAGGATGACCTGATACCATCTTAGAGTATATATCATCCTTGATAAAACATGGCCATAAATTCGCGCACGCATTTAAGGAATGGACATTATTATGGATCGTGTTTGATGCAAATACCAAGCTGTATTCTAAAATTTAAAAAGCTTTTTATCAGTACAATCGAAAATCGTTACTAATGACTAACGCCATTGTTTTGATAATACAAATACACCATATGGTTGAGTTCGCTCTCAGAAATGAAAAATTACATTTTGCATGGCTACGTTTGTCAAAATTTGAATACTCATATATTTTAGTATCCGTTGTATGAGCATGTAAGTGTATTATGTTTACATTCGTTCAGATATTTTGAAAAGCGGTTATTGAGTACATGTTGCAAAATTCGAGATAAATATATCACTATAAAATAAATATAATTTTTGTATTGTTCTTTCTTTTTCATTGTTGTGCGTTCAAGCCGCGTGGTTCAGTTTTCGTGTTATAGCACATCGTTATGGCTTTATAGGGCACTAAATGTTGACGATAGAGAAAGATTTCTAGCAGGACAGTTGCGCTTGCAGAGTAAACGGTATTGTCTTGTCGAGAATGCAATGATACCCAAGTATAGCTGGATTATTGAGGCCTCCAATAGGACACCTCTCAGTCTATTGGGTTGAACATCGACCGGAATACAAACATAAAAAGAATCATGCAGGTAAAATGATCTTAGTCTGAAATAACACCACAGATATGAAAATACTGCAATTTCTATGAAGGAAAGAGTTATTGAGAAATATTATTTGGACGCGTGCATATTGCCAACGCTAGGGCTTAAATTTCTTTCTGTAAAAAAACAGCTTTAGTTTCTAATCGATTCCAAGTCAATTTATTCTTCAGGATTGGTAATTGAGGCATTCCCCCAGTTGAAAATACATAAAATACATAAATGTTGCCTCGCTTCGTCTAACGAGACTATTATAATTTGGCGTTCAAAATAATGTTTAAAACACAAATGCTGGCAATTGCCGTGGCGACTAATGGTATACGGGCTAATTACCATAATTGTGAAATTTTCCGGAACAAATATATTGGCAGGGAAACATCTTTAATTTGACACGCACCATTGAGCACAAACAATCTGTCGTTCACGCGACTTTGGGATTGCTTACTATACAAACTTGCTCATGTCTGGACACGGTATTATACCTCTTTTTCATATTTCATATCAACGGCCCATACAAAAATTCAACATGTTAGTTACAATTGTCTCGTTTTGTTTTCATATATTACAGTAATTTATTTCTAACTGAACATTTTAAAGCAAATATTCGAGCAAAGGGAGCAGGGTTTTCCGCCTGCTTGTATGAAACACGATGAAAAACACTATAGTAATAGTAGCTACAGAATTGTTGATTCTGATATCAGTTTTTAGACAAGTCGTTTCGAAAAATAATAAAGTTACAGAATATGTGTCTGAAGAAGAGCCTAAAGGTAATCTACAATTTATTGTATAAAACAAACTATTATAAAAAATATGAATGGATTTTATTATTTTTCGTCTCTTTATGAACTCTAAATTGCCACATTGGTGTATTCAAAGATATTAATTGAGAAATATAATTTTACGTGGCCGACGGGATCACTTTATCCAAGAGAAAAGAGTATTGGTGTTACATAATTCTCCAAATGGGAACAACAATCTTATTTCCAGGACAAACAATTGAGATATTTATTTGAATACACAACATGATAATTTACATCTTAACAGGTACCATCGTTGCAAACATGGCTAAAATATTGAGCTTAAGATACGATGAACGAGCTGGAAGATCTTTCAAACTTCTCAGTCAAAACCTAATCACGAAAAGTCCGTCAAGTACTTTGAAAGGGGTGGAACTGATCACCTTAAATGAGGAAACAGGTGTAATGACGCTGGCGGAAAAAATTGACAGAGAAAAAATTTGCAGAAAAGCTGAAGAATGCATCATTCAAATTCAGGTATGAACACTTACTAAGGTAATCTAAAGATACAGTTGAACGTGACTGACGAAAATTACAAATGGCATCAAAGTTGTACCAGATATAGTTATGTTCAGTGTTACAGGTAATAATTTTGAAATATAAAACGTATTTTTACCGCTTGTAGCAAAAATCACAATTTTCATTTCATTCAGGCCGTGATGCTTCCTCAGAAACATTTTAGTATGTTGAATTTGGACATTAAAATTGGAGACATAAACGACAATCCGCCAAAGTTTTTTGCAAGGAAAATAAATATTACTCTCCCCGAAGCTGAGACTTTTATAAACGACGTTATAAACTTGGACAAATTTCAAGCACATGACAAAGATATTGGTAAGTATATCTAATAACAGTAAACAAATAAATTATACGACTTCTTATATTTACACATATGTCTGTCATCAGTTAGGTGGTTTGTAGGTACTGGCATTGCTAGTTGGAGTTAGAGTTTGATGGGATCACAATTTTTCAATACCAACTGGCCGTTCTTTAAAAGTTTTTGTCTGTCCGTTGTCAATATCGATTTATATTCCAAATTGTCATTTTGTCGGCCACGCCTTCTTCTATCTATCTCTCTATCTCATGTGCATCATTATACCTCACAAAGGACCCGGGTCCTGTAATATAAGTAATATAAAACGCCTTTTTACATTTAGGACTCAATAGTGAAATCCTTTATACCTTGACTGGAAATCCGTATTTCACAATTATACAATATGGCGACGAAGCAGGAAACCCGCATTTGGGGCTAAAAGTTTTAAAAATGCCTGGTGAGATGAATCCTTGTTTAGTTGAAAATGAATCTCTAACTTAATTCAATGATAAATCTTGTTATCATCCATTGTTCACATTTATGAACTTATTAATATTTGTAGCAAACCCACTTGAACCCAATATATCGGTACAAGAGTCGGGAGAACGAATAAATGAACCAAATGGATAAACTGAAATAGTTCTTAAAACGTTTTTCATTAAATGTTAATAACGATTAAATTTAAAATACCTGCAGATCACGAACTTGAAACATTGCATCGAATGACATTATATGCAGCAGATCGAGGAGAAGAATCACTCACTGATCACGTGCCACTGTTTGTGACAATCGCGGATTCTAATGATCATGATCCAATATTTGACCAACAGGTAGACGCCGTACTTTGCCGTGTTTAATAGCCATAAAATATTTGTCAACTTTCCATCTGAAATGGTGCAGGCAAATCGAGAAATATACCTAAAATGGAAGAAAATTACAAGTTATCCAGGTTTTCAAATTTATCTTACCAAAACATAAATATTTAATGAACTTCTGTTTCTTAATTCTGGGCAATTTCATAAAATCAATAACTCGTGGATTTGAAATTATTATTCCACCAATAATGTAGAGATTAAAAATACACTGTAAAAGTAAGAGTGATCTGAAAAGTGGATAACGAAATATTTTTTAACGACTTTTACTCAACATATGGACTCTTGTCATTTAGGTACCTCACAGAAAGCTTATAGTAATTGGTAATAAATGCGAATGTAATGACAAGCAAATTTTGTTTTTGTTGAGTTTATTCCGATTAATCGAGAATATTAGTCTGGTGTGTTAGTCCATGAATATTCAACACTTTTGGTATGAACATTTTTGTATTCAGCGTATTTAAATTTTGTCCAAACTCCTTCTTAATACCATGGCAACTAATTATGCGTGTGCGTCTGTACAATGGAATATTTGTGAGTTACACGAGTTCTGAGTTTAACTTTACTATTACCAATATGCTAGATGTGAGTAACAATAACTACTTGTTATGAACACAAGCTACTCAGAGATATAAAATGATTTAATATTCTCATTTTGCAGGATTATTCGATATACCTCGAGGAAAGTACAAAAGTATCAAGCTTGATCACAACTGTTCATGCTACTGATCTTGATAGCGGAGATTACGGTCGAATTCGATATTTTGTTGTTCCTCCGACGCCTCGCACGATTGAACAACTCGTCTCTGTCGATCCTGAAAATGGGGAAGTTCGGCTGAAGAAGAAGTTGGACAAAGAAATTCATGACGGGTGAGATACCAACTGAAATAGCATCTAAATAAAGTATTGAAATGAGCATTGACGCTTCAGGAAGGCATCATACCATTCCAAAACAATGTTGTCTCGGGCTGAACTGCCTTATTACTATATAGACATTTCTCGCCGAAAACACTAGGCTACATGTACCAATGAACAAGAGTAAAAACAAGTAAAACACCCAGCGCAGAAATTGCAATACCAGTATTTGGTATAAAAAAAAAAAGTCTTAACCGCGTATAGCACGCAATGAAGATCAATTAAAACTGCTCGTTTAATCGCAATTAGACCTGGTCTTTACGTTAATTGACTTGGTACAAGTAAAAATAGCATTTTTTGTTCATGTAATATCATATATTTTTTAACATTCAAAAAGAAACATATTAACTAATCGATATATGCATATCTAATCAAAGTGGATGTTATCTTTACAGGTTAAGAATATTAATTCAAGCAAAAGATTCAGATCCAGTAAAACCAAGAGTAGGTAAAGCATGGCTTCGAATTTTCGTCGAAGATGTCAATGATAATAATCCAGTAATAAACGTTAACTTTATAGTGGATGCAAAAAATAAAACAGGTTGGTGAAGATAGAAATTATGGCTGGCAAGTACTCATTAAAAAGTGTAAAAGAAATAGACCATACGTAAAATTATAAAAAGAGCATGGACGTTCTTAAGCAGATAGAAAAATTACAATGTGAATGTATAAAATTCCCAATTTTTTTTTCTTCCAAATATTCCTGCACAACTGTTTGATATTCAAAACGTAACATAAAGCATACCATAAATATGTATTATTCCGTTTGTAAAAGATGTGAATAGATAGTTCCTTTTCCAGAATCAATGACCAAATTTTAGTATGTGGAATTAGCAAAATAAAATTCTATGAATTTGGGCTGCGTTTCTACAGCACTTTTATAGTTTCATCCATTTTACAGGTTATATTCAAGAATCAGCTGGAGTTCGAACTTTCATTGCGTATGTTGATGCAACAGACGAAGACGAAGGTTTAAACGGGGATGTCGGACTAAAGATAAAGTCATTCGGGAAAAAGAAACAAGCAAGAAGTGAATAAAACCGTGTTCTTCTATAGATATCTTACTCAATATCACCAATCCTTTACTGTTTGCATATAAATTATTCACTTTTATTAAGTAAAAACCTCTTTTCTTTCAGATTATAAAGAAGTAACAGGAGAATTCATTTTGTCCCAAGATGGTTTGCTTTCAACTGGTAGACTTCTCGATAGAGAAACGTATCAACAATATATCATCGAAATTAATGCATGCGACAAAGGATCACCTAGAAGGTGATTGTTATAAACGTTTGATTTAGATTATTTATTCATTTGATTAAACGAGAGCCTCGAAGACAAAATAACGTTAAAATTTTCGTCGTTTCCAAAATACCCAGATGAGATGAATTTCTTCGAAAACGTTAAGTTATCAAATATTCTAATTATTATTTGTTACAGATGTACTTTCAACAACATCACCGTAGTTGTTCTCGACGTAAATGACAATTCTCCTGTGTTTGATATTCCTTCAAAAACCGTCGTTCTTCCGGAAGATAGTGAAGTAGGGGTGACAGTAACAGGTGTATCGGCATTTGACGCAGATGCTGCCTACCCACCATCTCTTTGGTTGAGGGTAAGTGTTAAAACTGGTTTTTGACTTGAAGTTATTTGAATAATCAAACGGACGACTGACGAATCTCAATTGTTAGCTTGAACAAATAGCACTGAAACATTGTGCTGATCAATGAAACTTAGAAAAACTTCAACAGTTCTCGAGTCTTGGACTCTCACTTTGCTCATATGGTTAAATGCAGCTTATTTACATGTGTTCAGACAATAGTTTTCGACTTTCTATACCCAGAATTTAATATTACCCTGTATAGTAAGAATCAGATAGAAATAATCGTCCTTATTAACTGATGAAACTTGACATTATTTTTTGCTTTTCTAGAATAAAAAAGTTGAGCCATCCATGAATGGTGTTATTACTTATTCAATCGCTGGAGGTGATACGAATTACTTCAATATTGGCGAGAGATCGGGAAATATTAAACTTGGGAAAAAATTGGATCATGAAACACAAAGTATTTGGAAGGTAGGTATAATCCCATTGACCTTCCATTTTTCCCATTTTCCTTGACATTTTACATCTTCTTTAATATCTTCTTAATTTCAGTTGATAATCAACGCTCGTGACGGAGGTTGGCCAAAGTATCGCGATGCGAATTGTACCGTGATAATACGTGTTGGTGACATTAATGACAATCGACCGATTTTCAAGAATCCTAAATACAATAATTCTAAACATTACGCAACAATTCTGAAGGATCAACCTATCATGATAGTTCAGGTAAATTGTTTGATGCAAGAATGCAAAGAAAATAGTGGACATTTCATTTTGTAAATCATTTTAATTTTGGCAATCAGTTTTAAAGCGATAATTTAATTGCATTTTGCTGAAATAACAGATGCTAACACTACATAATCGACATCAGCGTTCAAAATAAATCATTTAGAATTTAGATACACACAAGTCTTACGATATATTTTATCTACTGGAAGTAGAACTAGAGAATATAATAGGTTTTTACGTAAAGTTACTTTATTTATCAATTCTTCTTTTGGGTAAAGTATAAAAGTTTCAATTTGTATTTGACCACACTGAGGAAACAGTGAATAAACAGTATTTTCATGGCAAAAATTTCAACTAATTTGCCGCAATTAAAAAACCTACAAATATCACAACTCACGTATCTGCAGTGCTGGAATAAGTTGGGAAAATAAAAATCTTCGTTATTTAATCCTATTCTTGTCATCAGGCTGAAGATCGAGACAATGGGATCAATTCTAAAATTCAGTATAGAATTATAGAAGAAGATGGAATAAAATCTGGAGGCAAACAACCTTTGTCTGGGCTGTTTATAGTCAATCCAACAACGGGAACTCTGAGACTTAACTTCAGCAAATCTAATTTAACGAATTTCTTAGGATGGCATCACATCACCATCAAGGTTCGTTTCGCTAACGCATCATGTTACTTCTTCATTATTTTGATTTTTTTTTTATATCTTTTAACATATATGAGAACAATCTAAAAGTGGATGGATCACAATAAATCAAGAAATCCCAGATAAGCCTTTGCAAACTATTTCTTCATATTTTGTAGAAAATAAGTTAACTGAGCTATTTACTTCAAAATTTTACAGGCAAGTGATTCGGCATCATCGCCTTTATCAGTGGTAACCGCGATTCAATTAAAAGTTACGAATGAAATTGTACCAAACCCTTTAACACAAGCCGGTATTGAACCCAAATTCATTGCAATCGTAATAATCCTGGCAATTGCCGCCTTGATATTGATGATATTGATTGTCGTGACTCTACTTCGCCGACGAAAGAAAAAACAGGTAAATAGGTTTATGATTCAACACGTTTGAAAGTTTAAACTAAGATTTTAACATAACATAAAATGGAATGCAATATTAAATTAAAATGGCGATATAAAAACAATATCTTCAATGCTTTACAGCTGCAAACGTACAATTGCAAATCAGCAAAGTCTCGAGCAAGACATTGGTTGTCATCTCCGTCACAAAATAAGACGGGATCAGATACGCAAGGATGTTTAGAGCCTGGAAATACTCTTGAATCTGCTTATTCCGATGTGGCCTACAAGTAAAAAACTTGCACTACTTTTACTAATTTATTATCAAATAAAATTGCTATCAGCACCTGCTAAGTTCGAAGCATGTTTCGCTACTAATCAAATGATGAAACATTCTATACAAGCCATAACTCACAAAAAGTCGCTTCCAAAAGTATGAGAAATGTTTGCGTCTTTTCTTTATACGCCATAACCCAGGTGCCATGCGAAATTATGCACTTAATCTTGTCAATTTAGTTCCATCTAAGTATTTTTTGATTTCGGGTAATATTTCTATCGATTATTATATTATTTTGTAGCATGCAACCATATGGACAAGGCAATGAATCTACAGCTACAAGAAATTTTGTACCGGAATCTAATGAAGTGGCGAGAAATAAATTCGCATCACACGGAAAGGTAATTTGTTTTATCAGCAAATATAAACTATTACTTAAAAAACTTTGTTTGTTCAGTCAAACTAAGTAAGATCTTTGGAATAAATACTCATGTTGAAAATGCATTTTCATCTAACGAGAAATTAAATTTCTCTTATATATATGTATATATTGTATTTGAATATTGCCATCGTATATACTATGATAACGGGTTTTCTTTTCAGGCAAGTAATTCATCTTTAATATTACCTGTCGTAAGATCTCTTGATCTGGACAGTGGGCGAGGAGACAGTGGATCTGAAAATGAAAATAACGATTTTGATGCGAACGAAGCAGGTAAAATCATATAATGAATATATAAAACCATTAGAATATAGCACATAATATTTCAATAAATATTGTTTCAGGTCCTCACGTGCAACCTCATAATCAAACAAGAGAAAATGTTTCTCGCTCATATAATTTTCATGATGACGCAGACAGTTCACGTACTAGCGAACTTGGTCCCCGATGCGAAGAAAGCTGTAGAGAATACGGACACAGTGATAGCTGCTGGCTCCCATCCCCAAACAGAGGTGATATATGTTTACAATATATCCGTAGTGTTAGTTTCTATCAGATGACTAAAAATTGTTAAAAAATATGGTCATAAATATGTGCTGCAATATTTAGTAAACTCAATAAAGAGTTGATATGAATCATCTGATATGATCGTTTTACTGCGTTTGTGACTATGAATAATTTTTTTCGTTCAGATTCATATTGCGCTCCAATTCTTCCATGTCCTGGCACATTACGATACACAGCACCGCCATCCCAACATTTATTTCACTACAATTGTATTGACTACCAAGATACACGAGTTTCAGAAAGTATATCAAGAATACCTGGAGATAGATACTCAACAGCACCGACAGAATATTTCCAAACACTGCCGGCGAGAAATGGACAAGCTTCTAACTTGTATTACCACGGGTACGACGGCGACCTAGAAACAATAGACGAAGGCGCACCGCTTGGTGTACGTATATACGAAGGTATCGATACTTATGACGTTGATGACGTTAGCAGTCAAACGCATTTAAATTTGTCGACATCGTTGAATCATTCGAATGATATAATAGCGCCGACACAGCCTGCTTCTTCCAGAACCAGTGCTCTTTACTACATTTCAGGACGCCCAAAAAACTCACCATATCGACTTGCACCCGACTGGGAACAGAAGAAGTATAAAACAATATCAAACGTTCAGAGGACACGCCAGTCTAGTAGTTTATCTGATCTTCCGCATCCCAAATCAGAACTTCGCTACACTCCAACTTTTCGTCCATTAGCGCCATCTCCTGGATCAGAGGTGCGGTCGCATATATCGACTTCTTCATCTGAAAATTCTAACAAAGCCCGTGTTACACTGAATGATGTGCAATTTACTCCTAAAGAAGAATCGTATGAGAGTAAAAACTTTGAAAGGCGTGGTTCGTGTGATTCAAGAATACCAGTAATTCAACCATCATTTAGGAGTAGTCTTGCACAAACTCGCAATTCCATTGTAATTGCAGATCCTTCCAATAAAGGGACCGTATCTATTCAAGAAGCACAAGAAATTGTTGATGACATTGATAAGTTATTATTAAATTAATTTATATACTGTGTAATATATTTGTATCTTCTTCGTATTGGCCATACCTCAATATGGTTATAAACTAAATACATTCGATATCTGGAATGATGAAAATGAATTGAAGTGATAATTTGGATTTGGAAGAATCTGCTACAAAAATCAGAAAATGAGAAAAGGCAGCCCGCCCCGCCCTCTAACTTAATATTATATATATAAAGAAGTAAGTAGGTCAATCTTGACAACGTATTCCATCGAGAACAATAAACACGCGAACAGTATGTAATACAAATATTTGAACGATGAATGCAGTCGGGTATTAGTACAAGATATATTGGGTTTTATGAGCGCGATGTTTGAACAATGTAGTATTTTACTTTTTGATAGCAATGTTTGTATGTATGCAAGTGTATGTATTCATGTTCAGTTTATCGTATGCATTAAGTAAAGCGCAGTATATAATAAATACGAGTAGTAGCTGCCTCGTTTCGAGCTTAATTCAGAATTCTGCAAAATGTCAGACGAAGAAATACCCAGTAAACGGCGACGCGTTGACGAGAAGGACATCTCTAGCAAGGTGGACGCTAAAGAGCTATATAAAAAAATACTATCACATCGCGCTCTGCCGGTAGACTTGGATCGCTACGGATATCCAAGACCAGATGAACAACACCCTGGGAAGGCTAAATTTAGCAATCTTTCATCAGTTCAACCATTTAACGATTCAAACAATAAGACATGCGTAAGATGCCAAAAATCATTTTTACTGACTGAGGCAATAGGAAACACCTCCGTCGGGAAATGCTTTTATCACAAGCGGAGGTCGTATCAGGGAAGGCCACACGATTGTTGTGGCAGGCGAAGGGGTTCAAGAGGTTGCCGTACTGCTGATAACCATGTACACGATGATAACTTGAGAGATCCTTCAAACTACATCTCGACCATCAAAAAAACGGTTCCTGATGATGGAAGTCCTGGCATATATTCAATTGATGGAGAAATGTCGTACACTGTCAAAGGCAGAGAACTTACCCAAGTGACGGTTGTTGATCATAACGATGAAGTAATTTACAACGAATATGTGAAAACCAGAAAGCCAAATTATTGATTACAATACAGAATTCAGTGGAATCACAAAATTAGATATTGATGGTACAACAACGACATTGAAAGACGTTCAAAATTTCTGCTTAGAGAAGTTTTCGTCAGATACAATCTTGATTGGACACGCTGTTGAATCCGACCTTATTGCCTTGAGACTGATTCATGAAACTATCGTAGATACGGCCATGGTGTTTCCACACCCGAGAGGACTCCCATACAAGAGAGCATTGCGAACCTTAGCCATGAATCGTCTTGGACGCAACATTCAGAGCGGTACTCACAACAGCAAAGAGGATGCAGTTGCATGTATGGATATTATTTTACGACTTGTAAAATGAAGAATAAGAAGATCGCTAATGTTCAAAATGAATTTATCAACAGATTGTCATCACATGCCAGAATTCAAAAGTTGCTTCACGTTATTAATTTTTATAAAACTCGTAAAATCTATAGATCTTTAAAACAATGATTAATAAAATATTATAACATATATATATATATATATATATATACTTGTTTGGTGATTTCTCATCATATTATCTGATTTTTGAATATATAGATAAATAAATTTAATTGGGAAATTCATTCTGACTAATAACAAAGTATATTATTTTCTCTGTGTAACGAAGATTTCTGCGGCGAGGCATGGTTTGGTTATTCGTTTCAGTCGACTCTCTAATCCAAAACTTGTGGCAACATATCTACCTTAGTCTCAATAGTACATGCAGGACAAATTTTATTTTGTGTTCAAAAGCGCCACGACCATTCCACATTTTCCACAACGTCACCACGAACATATCTCTCTGGGACTGGATGCAACTACTTTTTAAAGGCCGATATGTTCAAGATTACTTACCCAATTTATTTTATTCTGAGTGAATATGTGGCCGCGGAAGCACTCAGAGCTTAAACTCAAATGGATGTTGCAACAGTGATGATTTCCGATGAGATCACTATTAATTTCTAATGTTTTATACGAAAAGAATACAATAAAATAAGGCGAAACTTCAACAGACTAATTGTATTTAAGCGTTTAAAATAGCGTTTATATGGGCATCTGCATTAGATATAATTTTGGATGACGCTTGTTCAAATTATAGCGACACCCAGGTCCGGGTCACGTCGATTTTTGGGGCGTTTTTTTAGATTGACACTCGACTCGGGTTTCTCTCACACATCTCAACTGCAACAACAAGCTTCTGCCTCAAACTAAGTCAAGTTTTTTACTGTCATACTTACTTTTAATGGAGCTCTTATATCGATTTTCCGTTATCGTTTATTACTGAAGAATCTAATACACCGACAAGATTGTATGCTACTCGTTATAACTAGTGGCTTGGAAGCGGACAGTTAAGGAAGCACAGTCTCAATACGTGCAAAGTCATAGGGAACAAGAACTAAGAACCCTACAAAATCACCAACTTTATAACAGAAGTTTTTACGTTAATAATAGAACTACTCGACAAAGTGGCGTAAAAAATTAATAAATCAAGGCTGATATATACTTACTTTTTTATATGCCCTCTTAGCCAATTCATCAATTCCTAGCTTTTAGAACATTGATCGGCAAACGTTACGAACTGGCGAGCCAAATATACACATTTCCCGTAGCCTGCGTGCCGCATTATTTTTGCCTACGAACAATCGCCTCATTAAACTTCAATCATGGTGCACTCTCACTTTCTATTTTTGTGGTAAAGCCTGATACATTGAGACGTGTATGTGGCCTATTTTAACATATAATCAAACAATGCATTAGTTTTATTTACTTGATATTATGTGAAGGATTATGTTATTCCTGTGACATATGGCCAAAGCGGTAAAATCCAATAGTAACCTAGTTGCTCCGCGTTACGTCGTTCAGAATTCAGATGACGATCTGACCAGCAAGTACGAAGTTTATTCTTAGTGTAATACATTTAGATAAAGCTACTCACAGCAATATATGCTTCCGAATGTGCACATTAGGCGCTTTGCATTGACGCACGTATGAGCAGTGGTGCAGCCCCGGGTCGAAATTTGTAGTCGCAATGACATGCCTTGGAATGACGGTTAACATTAATATAAAAAAAATCAATTTAAGCACCTTGGAATGTTTGACATTCGTCGCTAACTTCCTACCGTTTTTCCAGACATTTTTGAATTTCAAATTTAAATCAACTTTTAATTACAACCAACGATGGGTTTATCAAGTAAATGTCATACCACTTACGCTGCTTATTACAAACGAGCGCCTTATTCAGCAGCACTTGTTACCACATGAATCCGGGTGAAGGCAATAATAAATTTAGGATCAATTTTTGTTTTGTACATTAAAAATCCGGTCGTTCGCATGCGGCAAAAAACTGGTTCGCGAACCGCATTTGGCCCGCGGGCCACAGTTTGCCGACCCCTGTTTTATGAAAATTATTTCTCAAAAATGATATAAAAAGAATGAATGAGTTTCAAGTATATTTATTTACCATACTGAACTTATCATATATTAATGAAAACAATATTATAAGATACTTATAAATTTTGAATCCTTTATGTGTACGATAGAAAGTAGACAAACAACAAATTGGCAAATGTCATTCCAAATTTATTTGATGTTGCTTTGTTATGCCCATTTAGTCTCGAACGTGTTCGTTACTTCGTTTCATTAAAAACTGCTTGTACTATATAAGCTGTGGTAGTAATGAATCCGAATACATCCGCAGTTACTTTTCTCGACTCAATAAAACACGTAGTGTCATTCTGTAGGTAACAAGCTAAAACAATAGAGGCAACTAGACAAAAGATGTAGGCGAAGCTCGGCCAGTGATATTCTGCAGCATTAATTTTCTTAATTCTCATCATCATTATACTTGAAGTAAATTTGCAGAAATATAAGCCATCAGGGCAAAAGTTCAACCCGATGGACATGCTTGGGATGATTCGCATTAATAGCCTCCAAGAGCCAAAAGAGAAAACGTAACAGTTCTGAGGAAGAAATCAGCAACTGTTGCCGTAACTGTATACAATGTAACTTTTTAGTGGCGTGAATATTTATATATAATTATATGAGTTATGCACAACTTTAAATTATGAGATCAATATAAAAAAAATTGCATTGTATTGAAATGATTCTTACATTTAGGGCTGGAAGAATGTTCTCTATGCGTGTAGATTTCTGCAAAAGTACAGCGTGGCGGTTATGAATCGCTGCAATTTCGACCTTCCGTACAATGATAGACAGAAAGCAACATACTATCAGATATGCAGAGCGTAAAGTACAAAAGAACAGCAGGAGGCAATTTCCTGGAATAAACGTTTTAGTTTTAAAAAATGTAAAAATATAAAACAATATCAAACGTTCAGAAGACACATCTTTCTAGTAGTTTATCTGAAATTCCGCATCCCAAATCAGAACTTCGCTACACTCCAACTTTTCGTCCATTAGCGCCATCTCATGGATCAGAGGTACGGTCGCATATATCGACTTTTTGATCTGAAAATTCCAACACAGCCCTTGTCACACTCAATGATATGCAATTTACTCCCAAGAAGAATCGTATGCGAGTAAAATGTTAAAAGGCGTGGTTTGTGTGATTCGAGGATTCCAGTAAATCAACCATCATTTAGGAGTAGTCTTGCACAAACTCGCAATACCAAACTCTTCGTATTGGCCATACTTAAATATGGTCATAAACTAAATACACTCGATATCTGGAATGATGGAAAAGAATTAAATTGATAGTTTGAAAGAATCTGCTACCAAAATCGAGTCCAGACTGTTTCCTCAGCTTCTGACTAAATCTTTCGGAAACTGTTGCGATGCGGTGCTTTCAGATATTGCACATGAATCAGTTAGGTCTTCCGTGTTCAGGTTCTTCCAGATTGCATGCAATATGTAATTAGAATTTTCGCTCCATCTTCCATTTTATTTTTTAAATCCAAAATGATGTACGGCAACAGTTCAGCAATAGAATATACCGGTATATAAACATGCACTTTTGTTGTGCAAATATACTTGACATTCAATTTTTTTAATTGCATCATTATGTTAATCTGGAAGAACCTGAACACGGAAGACCTAACTGATTCATGTGCAATATCTGAAAGCACCGCATCGCAACAGTTTCCGAAAGATTTAGTCAGTAAATAAGTTTTACTAAAGCACAATATACAAATACAAAAAGTCAGATTATTTTTCTCATGAATATTGTGTCATGTAAATATTATTTTATCATATCGACATACAGATTCAAAAGATATTGTAGCCTTACCAGACAATGAGGAAGGCAACCCGCCCCGCTCTCTGACTCAATTTTATATTAACAAGTAAGCAGGTCAATCTTAACTACAGGTTCTTTAATTCTATTCGTCCCGTTACCGTGACAAAGTAATCAATCGAGAACAATAAACACCCGAACAGTACAATACAAATCATTGAAAGATGAACAAAGTCGGGTATTTGTACTATTATATTGGTCTTTATATATACGCAATGTTTATGCAATATTGTATATTACTTTCCGATGTTTGTATATATTCAAGTGTTTCAGTTTACCGTATATGTTCAGTGAAGAGCGGCAAATAATAAAGACGTATAGAATAAGTCCCAGTAGCTGCTGCCTAGTTTCGTGCTTAATACAGAAATTTGCAAAATGTCAGAAGAAGAAATACCGAGTAAACGGCGACGCGTACTCGACCAGAAGGACGTCTCCAGCAAGGTGAACGCTAAAGTGTTATACAACAAAATATTATTACATCGCGCTCGGCCAGTAGACTTGGACCGCTACGGATATCCAAGACCAGATGGACAACACCCTGAGAAGGCTAAATTTAGCAATCTTTCGTCAGTTCAACCTTTCAACGATTCAGACAACAAGACATGCGTAAGGTGCGAAAAATCTTTTCTACTGACTGAATCAATAGAAAACACCCCCGACAAGAAATGCGTTTATCACAAGCGGCGTTCGTATCAGGGAAAGCCACATGATTGCTGTGGTAGGCGAAGGGGTTCAAGAGGTTGTCGTACTGCTGATAACCATGTACACAATGATAACTTGAGATATACTTCTAACTATATCGCAACCATCAATAAAACGATTCCTGATGATGGAAGTCCTGGCATATATTCAATTGATGGAGAAATGTCGTACACTGTCAAAGGGAGAGAACTTACTAAATTCACGGTTGTTGATCATAATAGTGAAGTAATTTACAACGAATTTGTGAAACCAGGATGCCAAATTATTGATTACAATACAGAATTCAGTGGAATCACAAAATCAGATATTGATGGTACAACAACGACATTGAAAGACGTTCAAAATTTCTGCTTAGAGAAGTTTTCGTCAGATACAATCTTGATTGGACACGCTGTTGAATGCATCCTTATTGCCTTGAGACTGATTCATGAAACTATCGTAGATACAGCTATAGTATTTCCACACCCGAGAGGACTCCCACACAAGAGAGCATTGCGAACCTTAGCCATGAATCGTCTTGGACGCCACATTCAGAGCGGTACTCACAACAGCAAAGAGGGTGCTGTGGCATGTATTGATATTATTTTACGACATGTGAAATGAAGAATAAGGAGATCGCAAATGTTCAGGATGAACGTATCAACGTCTTGTCATCCGCCAATCTCATGCCAGAATTCAAAAGTGACTTCACGTTGCTAATTTTTCTCGTAAAATCTAAAGATCTTAAAAAAATAAAATATAACATATATATTCCTGTTCATTGATTTCTCAGCATATTTTCTATTTTTCCAATGGTAGGCTTTATATGAATAAAATTTAAATGGTGAAATATATTCCGACTAATAACAAAGTATATTATTTTCTCTGTGTAACGAAGATTTCTGGGGCGTCCGCAGTTACTCTTCTCGACTCAATAAAACTCGTAGTGTCATTCTGTAGGTAACAAGCTAAAGCAATGGAGGCAACTAGACAAAAGATGTAGGCGAAGCTCGGCCAGTGACATTCTGCAGCATTAAGGTCTTCGTTCTCATCATCATTATAATTGAAGTAAGTTTGCAGAAATATGAAAATTGTAGAAACACTCCAACAAATAATATAAATAAGCCATCACGGCAAAAGTTCGACCCGATTAACATACTTGGGATGATTCGCATTGATAGCCTTCAAGGACAAAAGAGAAAACGTAACAGTTCTGAGAAAGAAAACAGCACCTGTTGCCGTATCTGTATACAATATAACTTTTTAGTGGGCTGAATATATATACCTATATAATTGAATGAGTTATGCACAATTTTAGATTATGAGATCGATATAAAAAAATAATTGGATTGTATTGAAATGATTCTTACATTTAGGGCTGGAAGAATGTTCTTTATGCGTGTAGATTTCTGCAAAAGTACAGCGTGGCGGTTATGAATCGCTGCAATTTCGACCTTCCGTACGATGATAGACAGAAAGCAACATACTATCAGATATGCAGAGCGTAAAAGTACAAAAGAACAGCAGGAGTCTATTTCCTGGAATAAACGTTTTAGTTTTAATAAATGTAAAAATATAAAACAATATCAAAAGTTCAGAAGACACAACTTTCTAGTAGTTCATCTGAAATTCCGCATCCCAAATCAGAACTTCGCTACACTCCAACTTTTCGTCCATTAGCGCCATCTCATGAATCAGAGATACGGTCGCATATATCGACTTCTTCATCTGAAAATTCTAACACAGCCCGTTTCACACTCAATGATGTGCAATTTACTCTCAAGAAAGAATCCTATGTGAGTAAAATGTTAAAAGACCTGGGTTGTGCGATTCGAGGATTCCAGTAAATCAACCATCATTTAGGAGTAGTCTTGCACAACCTCGCAATTTCATTGTAATTGCAGTTCCTCCAAATAAAGGGACCGTATCCATTCAAGAAGCACAATAACTTGTTGATGACATTGATAAGTTATTGATAAATTAATTTATTTAATGTGTAATATATTTGTACCTTCTTCGTATTGGCCATACTTAAATATGGTTATAAACTAAATACACTCGATATCTGGAATAATGAAAATGTATTAAATTGACAATTTGGAAGAATCGGCTACAAAAATCGAGTCCAGACTGTTTTCCGCGCTTCTAATCTGCAATTAGAATTTTTGTCCTATCTTCCATTTTTTAATCCAAAAATGATGTACGGCAACAGTTCAGCAATAGACTATAAACATGCACTTTTGTTGTGCAAATATACTTGACATTCAATTTTTTTTAATTGCATCATAATGTTAATCTGGAAGAACCTGAACACGGAAGACCTAACTAATTCATGTGCAATGTCTAAAAGCACCGCATCGCAACAGTTTCCGAAAGATTCAATCAGTAAATAGGTTTTACTAAAGAACAATATACAAATACAAAAAGCCAGATTATTTTTCTCCTGAATATTGTGTCATGTAAATATTATTTTATCATATCGACATACAGATTCAAAAGATATTGTAGCCTAACCAGACAATGAGAAAGTCAACCCGTCCGCTCTCTGACTCAATTTTATATAAACAAGTAAGCAGGCCAATCTTAACTACAGTTTCTTTAATTCTATTCGACCCGTCACCATGACAAAGTAATCAATCGAGAACAATAAACACCCGAACAGTACAATACAAATCACTGAAAGATGAACAAAGTCGGGTATTTGTACTATACATATTGGTCTTTATATATATACGCGATGTTTATGCAATATTGTATATTACTTTCCGATGTTTGTAGATATATTCAAGTGTTTCAGTTTACCGTATATGTTCAGTGAAGAGCGGCAAATAATAAAGACGTATAGAATAAGTCCCAGTAGTTGCTGCCTAGTTTCGTGCTTAATTCAGAAATTTGCAAAATGTCAGAAGAAGAAATACCCAGTAAACGGCGACGCGTACTCGACCAGAAGGACATCTCTAGCAAGGTGAACGCTAAAGTGTTATACAACAAAATATTATTACATCGCGGCCAGTGTCTTGGACCGCTACGGATATCCAAGACCAGATGAACAACACCCTGAGAAGGCTAAATTTAGCAATCTTTCGTCAGTTCAACCTTTCAACGATTCAGACAACAAGACATGCGTAAGGTGCGAAAAATCTTTTCTACTGACTGAATCAATAGAAAACACCTCCGACAAGAAATGCGTTTATCACAAGCGGCGTTCGTATCAGGGAAAGCCACATGATTGCTGTGGCAGGCGAAGGGGTTCAAGAGGTTGTCGTACTGCTGATAACCATGTACGGAGACCGTACATTTGAACCCATGTGTATATCCGCGGGTTCAATCTATATGCGGGTGCTAAAACCCATGGGTTAGGTTAGTATGGGTTCAAATATCCGCAAAACAAAATTCTTTTCCATAGGTGCAATAGTATGCAGGTGCAATTGTCGTGGGTTCAAATGTACGTGGGTTCAAATGTACGGGAACCACCATGTACACAATGATAACTTGCGAGATCCTTTCAACTATATCGCAACCATCAAAAAAACGATTCCTGATGATGGAAGTCCTGGCATATATTCAATTGATGGAGAAATGTCGTACACTGTCAAAGGGAGAGAACTTACTAAATTCACGGTTGTTGATCATAATGGTATAGTAATTTACAACAAATTTGTAAACCCAGGATGCCAAATTATTGATTACAATACAGAATTCAGTGGAATCACAAAATCAGATATTGATGGTACAACAACGACATTGAAAGACGTTCAAAATTTTTGCTTAGAGAAGTTTTCGTCAGATACAATCTTGATTGGACACGCTGTTGAATGCAACCTTATTGCCTTGAGACTGATTCACGATACTATCGTAGATACAGCTATAGTATTTCCACATCCGAGAGGACTCCCACACAAGAGAGCATTGCGAACCTTAGCCATGAATCGTCTTGGGCGCCACATTCAGAGCGGTACTCACAACAGCAAAGAGGGTGCAGTGGCATGTATGGATATTATTTTACAACATGTGAAATGAAGAATAAGGAGATCGCAAATGTTCAGGATGAACGTATCAACGTCTTGTCATCCGCCAATCTCATGTCAGAAGTCAAAAGTGACTTCACGTTGCTAATTTTTCTATAACTCGTAAAATCTAAAGTTCTTAAAAAAAATAAAATATAACATATATATATATTCCTGTTGAGTGATTTCTTAGCATATTTTCCTGCTTCTCAAATGTATAGACTATATAAGAATAAAATTTAATTGAGAAATATATTCCGACTAATAACAAAGTATATTTTTTTCTCTGTGTAACAAAGATTTCTGGGGCGTGGCATCGTTTGGCTATTCGTTTCAGTCGACTCTCTAACTCAAAACCTTTTTGCTGTGGCAACATATCTACTTTAGTCTCAATATTACTAGAAAACCATTATTTTGTGTTAAAAAACGCAACGAACATTATACAATTTCCAGGACGACTTTTCCCAACGGCACTACGAACAAGGCTATGTGCAGCCAATAATACCTAAAAAGAAACTACTTTTAAAGGCGGATGTTTTCACGGTTTGCCATTACCGACCCAATTCCTTTCCTCCTGAGTGCGTAAGTGGGTGCGGAAGCATTCCGACTTTAACCTCAAAAGTGGCACAAAAGTATCAAAAATTGCTGGCTTCTACTGACTTTTTATCCGCCTTCTTAGTCATTTCATCAAGTCCTAGCTTTTAGAATAACTATTTTCTACTATAATGTTGATCATATGTAAATTGTATTGCGCGATGCTGGTCGTTTAACTATCGATTAGATGGTTAGCTTCCAAGTGTTCCAACAATCAAGTTACTAAAACTGGCCAATGTGTATTTAGATATCTGAACCTTGGGCGTCGCTGCTTGATAATCAGATTTGGTTCCCCGCGGCTTCCCTTTCTTCAGTGAAATGTGTATTTATAATTATTCTTCGTAATATTGCTTGTTAATTTTTTTTACTGGATGGAAAAAATAAACTTGACTCTGACTTCTAAAAAAAATACATGAAAAATCAATGCGTGTCGAATTTATATATATATTCACCATATTAAACTTTTATTATAAAATATTATTAAAACTAATATTATAAGACACTACTAAATTATACAATATTTCAAATCATTTATGTGTACTATAGATTGTAGAATATAAACAAACAACAGTTTGGCCACTGTTATTCCATATATTGAACGTTTCTTTGCTGTGCCCAGTTAGTCTCCAACATTTTCGTTACTTCGTTTCAGTAAAACTGCTTGTACTAAATAAGCTGTGGAAGTAATAAATCCGAATACATCCGCAGTTACTCTTCTCGACCCACTCCAACTCGTGGTGTCACTCTCGAGGTAACAAGCTAAAACAATGGAGGCAATAAGACAAAAGATGAAGGCGAAGCTCGACCAGTGATATTCTGCAGCATTAAGGTCTTCGTTCTCATCATCATCGTATTTGAAATAAATTTGCAGAACTGTGAAAATTGTAGAAACACTCCAACAAATAATATAAGCCACCAAGGCAAAAGTTCGACCCGACGTACATGCCTGGGATGATTCGCATTGATAGCCTCCATTAGCCAAAAGAGAAAACGTAACAATACCGAGGACGAAAACACCACCTGTTGCCATATCTGTATACAATAGAACTTTTTGGCGTTATTATATATATATATATATAAATATATATATAATTGAATGTTATGCACAATTTAATTAAATTATGAGATCAATATAAAAATTGCATTTGAATTAAAATGATTCTTACATTTAGGCTTCGGAGAATTTTTTTTATGCATGTATATTTCTACAAAGTACAACCCGGCAGTTACGAATCCGAACAAAATTGCTGCGTTTCTTTCTCCGCAATCAGGACCTTTCGCACAAGTATAGACAGAAAGCAACATAGTAGCAGACATGCAGAACGTAAATAGTATAAGCGAACAACAGAAGTCATCTTTCTGAAAAAAAAATGGATTTGGTAAATTAAACTAGTAGTGTAATAATTTGTTTGCCACGTAGCTTTAAAATTGTTCATTTTTTGAATAACTGAATCTAAAAAAATGATAATAAATCAGAAATGAACCAATATTGCCATAATCTGAAAGATTGCAAATGGTGGCGCAACACATTTTTTCACTCAGCAATTCCTTATTTTGCAAGAAAGCAGCGAATTCTCTTAATAAAAACAAAACCATATAAATTCATTTTTTACTTCGTGTGGTCGGCAATACAACCCACTTTTTGCAAAGGTGGCCATTTTTAATTGGAGTTGAAAAAATATATTATTCTCGCATATATATGAGTGTAAAATCGATAAAACCCATAACTCAATGAGGGTTGAGCTTGCTGTCTTTGATTTGGTTAAAATTAAATAGACGCTCAGCATCTGGTCAATAAAACATACATAGCCATACCCTGAGAAGACTTCCAATATCATCCACGCACGTCATGGTGATGTAAATAGTGAGCGATATTATCCACGAAATCAGAAAAGCAGCAAAAGGCCACCCAAGCGGACCTCGGAAACCAGACGAAGCAACAAGTGAGAAGCTGATTATTCCAAAAATAATCACAAACATTTTGAGAAGTCCATGTTTGTTACACATATAGTCTGTACCAGATTCCGCCATGGTATTAGGTTTTTTACTTTTTATAAGAAAAGAAAAAAAAACAATAAATATTTTTCAAATTTTCCTTTCATTTCTAAGACCAATAAGCCACTCGAGAGCAACAGACTACATCTTAAAAAATGTGTTTTATTAACCTCCCTGTTGTTTTGCCTTATACTTTAAAGCAGGGCTACTCAACACTATTTTTACCGGGGATCCATATACAAAACTTGAAAATTATTTGGGTCCGGTCCGGTCTTTCAAGAAACTATATTTCGGCATTCTTAAACGCGCACTTCCTCGGCCGGCTAATGGTTTTTAGCAAATCAAGATTGTTTATTATGGTTGTATAGTTCTTTTCATATATATTCAAAACCATAAAAGTCATTTTATAAAAGAAAACTTGAAAAGTGGGGCTAGCTAATGATCCAAAATAAAGAATTAGGTGCGGTCCGAATCCAATACTCGAAGGATCCGGAGGTCCGCTTGTTGAGTAGCCCTGCTTTAAAGCGCCCACAGTATTTCATCATCAATATTGTTAACAACGTTCTAGACCAGAGGCGTGCAACATACGGCCCGCGGTACCTATTTACTTCATACTTCGTAGCCTATTAATTTAACTTTAACCTGAATTAACTTTTTCTGAATTGTAACGGCATTATTGACTACATCACACTGCAATTTAATTCCGTCTACAGCAGTGGTTCTCAACCTTTTTGTCTCTGCCCTTCTGGTGCTCTCAAAGCGGTCGCGGATCCCTCAAAAGTTTTTTATTTGAAATTTAGTTTATAGCTTAAACAGCAACCTAATGTTCCATACAGATTCAACCAAGTCAAAAACTAGAATTCGGTTGGAAACCGAAGACTTATCGATCGAAGGTTAGGGGATCCCCCAAAACAGTGGTCTTCTCCATAGTGACACCGTGTGTCCCATCATTAATTAATTAATAACTCGCTAAATATACGACATAATCTATCCAAAATCGATAGGCTTCTGATCCGAGCTAAGATGAATCCACGTGCAAAATTTGGAGCAGATTGAAAATCTCACTTTCGTGAGATATCGCGTGCATCTAACACACAGACATACTGACAAACAGACAGACAAATACCTATCAACATACTTAACGATCAAGATCGATAAGTAACAAGATCGATAAGTAATAACGCTAAACTAGTGGACATTTTCATTTATTTTGTCAAATCGAATACACTTAATAGGATTTCTGCTGTTGTATATCAAAAGCAAGTCTTGAAATACGTGGTCTTGTTTTTGATAACGATAGACGCATATCGTCGTCGACGTTTAGTTGGTTACGAGCCTTGGATTTGATATGAACGAGAGCAGAAAATCCACTTTCACAAAGGTATGTGGAGGCGAATGGAACAATAACACGTAATGCTTCAATTGATACTTTTGGGTACGACGGCAAGATGGCGCACCAAAACTGAGAAAGTGATCACTGTATCTGCGTTCTCGTATTATCATTGTCATGTAATAACTCGTATTTGTCACAATAGGTCTACGGGAGATAAATAAATCAAAATAGTTTTTGTAGGCTATTGTCACATTGTCATAGGCAGTAAATGTTCGATCGTATCACAAAAAAACGATATTAAACTGCAAACAATTCCCTAAAATCTAAATTTAATCGCGGACCCCCTGGAAATGCTTCGCGGACCCCCGGTTGAGAACCACTGGTCTACAGTACTGTGACGACCCCCTATTGTTGCAGCATAATGTGCATTGTATGAAAACTGCCTTGTTCTGGAAGTGGTACGTGATCTTACTTTATGGTTGCAGGTTATTATACAAAAAAGTTCGAATGTCTACCAGTAAGAAAAGTTGATTATGAAAGGCGCAAGTTCAACAATGGGTGGTGTGTGAAATACTTCATTGTGCAACAGAATCAAGATGTAATTTGCCTGATTTGCCAAAACGCTTTAGCAGTAATGAAGGAGTACAATATCAAGCGACACTATTGTAGAAAACACTCTGCTAGCTACGATAGCATTGTGGGTCAATCACGAGTTGACAAAATGCAGCAATTGAAAAAATCTTTGAGCAAACAGCAAGAGGTATTTCATGGTTACAAGAAGGACACGAGGACAAGAAGCAATTGTGGAAATAGGAAAGCCGTATATCGATGGTAAATTCATTAAGAATTGTTTGGGTATATTCATCAAAAGTGTATTCACAGAGAAGAAAAATTTAGTGGAGCAAAAAAGTCTGCCTCGTTTTACAGTGACTCGCCAAATAGACGATCTATCGGAAAACATCGAGGTTTCTCTAAAAGACAGGATAAGCAAATCTCCGCTTTTAATATCGCTTTGGATTGTTGCATGAGTTGTTCGATGTCTGGCCCCCGGTATCACTATACTTGTAGTTTGTGGCCCATTGCGCTAAACAGTGGCACGTCCCTGTTCTAGACCCTGAGTGAACAACAAAATGATAAATCCCTGAAGATAAAACCAAACGTGCTTTTGCTATTACAGTTCGCAACCGAGTTCACGAGTCAATTATCTACGTACTTCTTTCCAGATTTAGATATTCGATTGATGCGTAACCACAACATACAATAACATACCACAAAAAAACAAGTTCATGTGGATTCGATTGAATATAAATAGTAATATATATGTCAACAAATTTTGATAAAGGATCAACCGGTAAGCTGATATAGATGCAGAATAATGCGGCTGGGTTAATAAACCAAGTAAAATGGTATAAATTCTATCTATTCTAAACTCTATTTATATGAGCAGAGTTTAGTATATTTTGAAACAATATTTCAGTAGTGTATTTAATGAAATATTTGTAGGAAAAGTAGCGTGCACTACTTTTAGCAAAACTTTACCAATGAGGCAATAACAACATAGATCCACTCCTAACTGATGCATAAATATTCAAAAACATCTTTATCTGTTACAGGGAGATCTTTGAATCCTGACAAAAGTAGGCTACTTCTTTGCTTTACCGAAAATAACTCATAGTTTATACATTCTTAATACGTAATTTTTAACAAATGCAAGTCAATTACTCAAAACTGCTCAGCAAAAATACAATTAAGATATAATATGTGATAGGCCTTTAAATACAATATTTACTTTTGATGTTTAAGTCTTCCTCGATGTTTGCCTATAATACGTGGGCTTATCAGGAGTCGGTATTTGTTTGCGTAGCTATAATGAAAGGCTGTGAAGATTTAACAGGGAAGAGAAATATTTGTAGTTGAAGAGGTTCGCACATAAAACAAGATCGCAAGGCTGAAATGTATTTACACAAAGGTCACGTACATCGGTACCCGTACGCGGGGCGTTCCAAATTTTCTGCTGCCCGGAGCGACTTTCTAACAATGATGATGACATGCAGCCCGCGTGTTGGAGAACCCTGGTCTAGCCCAGCGGTTCCCAACCTTTCTACCTTGGCGGACCGGTAAAATTAGATTAAATGTATTCGCGGACCGGCAAAAATTTAAATGGCCGGAACAGAAAAGAATAACATATATTTGCGTAATATAATGCAATGTCAGGCACTCAATATGCTTCTAGACAAAAAAAAAACACACTTAAAACATTTCACACAGAGAAAAACTATAAAATAATGTGCCGACCAGAAACTAAGAATGGGTGAAACCTAAAATAATACCATATATTTGCGTAATGAAATGCATCGCTGGGCACCCATTATGCGTAAGAAAGGCACGCATAGAATATCTCAAATTACAAACATGTACAAACACAATTAACTCATGTGAGAATTTTGCTGATGTTTCGTTTCCAATATAAGATTGCAAACGACGCCTCGAAGAAGTTTTTGCAACACGGAGCTCTGCAGCCGCGTGCAGCCGACCGGCAATGGTCCGCGGACCGGCGGTTGGGAACCACTGGTCGAGACTATGTTCAGATAGACTATAGTGGTTTCTGGATTTTCAATGGCAGTAGTTACACAATAGTAATGTTAGTTTATACATATTAGAATTGACACACCAAGCCAATATTTGAAATCTACCCAACACCAGATTCCATTTGAGATTCCTATATAATACAATCTGATTCATTAAAAAAAATAGTTTAGCTGCATTGCATAATGACGAGATTTTCATATTTATGCGTTGAATTCATACATGCGAAACCACCCTTTATCATATTTCAATTTCTGTTGACAATATACCAAGATAAGAGGGCTTATAATATCAACACGAAGGTCAAATAAATACCGTAATGTAAGCAACATTTTATCAGTATATTAAAGTGAATTGTACCAAAACTCAGGTTACACAAAATTGGGGACCGCGGGTGCCAGTTCTTCTTGTCCGAGACGTCAATACCGAAGTTTCTGTATACCGGCGATCAATCACCGGGGAAGAACTTCTTTTGTAGCATTTTTTAATGACTTTTAGTGCTTTTTTACCGTCCCAATACTGAAATCTAAATATAAGCATGTAATAATCAACCTAAAATGAAACTGATCTGATATATATACAACCTGCAAACACATGAAATATGAGGCCTCTCGGTAAAAGTTATTACCTGGCATCTGTAAGTATCCATATTTTGAATTATATATATATATTGGTCCATTTTTGCGAAAGAACGATTTTCACAACAACAGCCCCCAAAACATCAACAAGAACAACAATAATTTTGTGATTCGGAAGCAGAACACCTATTGTCATGAAAATATGTGCGTTCATTGGGAAGCTTGTGGCCCACGAGGTTTTGTGCTAAAATCAACTGCTGTCCAATAATACTTGTATGCTCTGACTTTATTGATATATAGGCTATAGAACATTGTACCAAGTTGATGTCTCTGATATATATCTAGATTTTCTGCGGCGCGGCGGTGTGGCTCATCGTGCTGAGCGTTAGGAATACGCTCGCCACCGCACCTCCAATTACTCTGCGTAGGTTCGCAGGTTCGAATCCCATGCGGGATGGGTATGTGCGGGAGGATTGCTGGACTCCTCGTCGACGTAGGATAGTTCACGTAACCGCTCGTCGGTTACGGCTCCCTCTACCATCAAGTCC